AAGGTCCCCTTGCTACTCCTCTTCAATTGTATCTTTCTACTTGAGCATTCAGAAATAGGAGGAAAAATAAATGCATACTACAATGGACTCTAATTGTTCACTGAACAAGTATTTTATTTCTTCTATCTGAATATACTACTGCAAAAAAGAGAAAAGGGAAATGTTACATAACTCTTAGGATTTCTTGTATCATTTTAGAGGAGGCAGGTCTGACTGTCCTAATATCATTTTTTTCTCTTCTCAATCCTCCCCATCATGAGTTAGTGACTATAAATCAGCATGCAGTTCATTCTAGCATGATTTGCATGTCTTTGTATGGTGTGCATTTGCAACTGTACTTAGCAAAGGAAAATGTATTTGGTTCTTATTTAATTGATATTTTATGGCCTCAGGGGAATAATTGCCAACAGTTAATGTTCATTGAACTTCTGCAAAAAACTTTTTCATCTGTGCCTACATTTTTGATGATACACATTGCTGAAATCATTGCATGTTATTTAATGGAGTCTCTATATATGTGACACAACACACTCCCCTGGATGTTACATCTCTTTTTTCCTATCAAACAGAAGGTTTAAGAGATATAATAACCTTCCCCACATACACTGGCTTCTGTGGGAATCTTCTTGAAACACAACTGTTACTTTCTAAATGGTAACATGCTCTTTGCAGTTCAAACTTCCTCAACACAAATACAATTACCTAGAAAAAAGGATGATCACTGGCCTCAGTTGAGGCCCCTCAATCCAAAGCTTAGCAGAAGAGCTCCAGGACCCCTCCCCCGCAAAGAAAAAGGCCTTGGGTTTTTCTGGGGCCATGCAAATCAAATATGCACATGGAAGAAAAATAATGGCATAGAAGTGGAGGTAATCAGCTGTCAAACAGATCTGCAGAAAAAACCAAAAGTCTGCTCTTCAGGATCCAAATAAATTTTAAGACGTGTCCATCCTTGTGGTGCTCACATTTTCCCTGAAAAAATTTGAGAGGCTCGGTTCTTTGGTGCCAATAAACCTGTGATTATAACACATTTAGAAGCAAATGTAGACTTACCCATATATATCATTTTCCTTTTTATGTGAAGACTGAATACCTGAAAATTCTGCTCCTTCTCTATGACGGCAGAATCTGATTCTCCTGATTCCTTTCACTTTTGTGCATATGTGTTGACTATACAGCACCTTGACAGCCTTTTCTAGAATTTCTTTTCTATTTTTGTATTGACTCCCTATTTTGCAGTGTGGCCTCCTCATGTTGGTAGTAATAAATAGTATTTTCTCTCTTAAGTCATTCTATACCTTTACATCTTTTTTCCTTTTAATTTTTAAAATTTTTTATTAGTACATGTTTTTAGTATATAGGATTACATTTACCATGAGGAATTTGTACATGTAGATAACACATCTTAATTTCTTCCCCTCCTATTCTTCCCTGCTCCCTCCAACTCTTGTTTTCCTTCCCATGTGAAAAAGCTATTTCCATTCTTTTCTTCAATATATTTTTATTCTTTTGTTTGTCATTTACTTGTTTCCTTAATGAGTACTCTATATGTCTGACAAGCACCGTTACTAAAGAAACCCAGATTCAAATTCTTCTTCCAAATATGAGACTTGGAAAAAAATCACTTCATTTTCCTGAGTGGTAGTTTTTTCCTCTGCAAAACTGTAATCATATTACAGGCCCATGACTTGTTGTGAAATTTAAATGGAATTGCATGCATGAAATTTCTTAGTACAATGACTGGAAATTGGCAAATGTCTGGTAGCATGCAAGGAATTTAAATCCAGAAGATTTTATCCGCTCTTTAAATTATATCCTCAGGGAAATTCAGATTGTCTTTACCCTCCAATCAGAGGATAGGACATCAACAAATATTTTTCACGTACCAATAATGGATTATCATAATCCCTTTTACTTGTAAACTCTCTTATTTAAGTTCTGACTTTTAAAATATGTTTACGATATGATGTCATTGGCACCACGCCTGCCCTGCAAGTGCAAGGTCCTAAGTTTGATCCCTGGTACCCCCCCAAAAAAGCAAAAAACTATTTCCAGGCCCAGGGATGTAGCTCAGAGGCACAGCGCCTGCCTGGCAAGCATGAGGCCCTGAGTTTGATTTCCAAAACCAGAAAAAGAAAAGTGCAAAAAAAGAAGGAAGAAAAAAGAGATATGATGAAGCTGGCTGTGATGGCACTCACCTGTGATCTCAGCACTCTTGGAGGCTGAAACAGAAGTGTCCCAAGTTCAGTCACCACCTAGAGAATTTTGTGAGAATTTGTCTCAATATAAAAAATTTAAAAAGGACCGGGAGGTAGCTCAGTGAGAAGCCCCTGGATTCAATCTCATTAGAAACAACAAAAACAACAAAATATTGTACTGACAGTTAACATACATTAAGTACTCATTTTATGTTAGAAACTTCATCTGCAAATTCTCTCAGAACCTGTGGAGGTGAAGTCTCTTTACTCCTATTTTACAAATAAACAATGCATACAGGTAATGCATGTATATCAGATTATATAAAGGATTTACAAGGCAGGCTTACAGTGGTCACCTGCAGAATCAGGGGTGGAAGAACTCAAAATGGCTGGCTGTGCACTAACGAGCTGGGTGATCCAGCTGAAAGTCAAAAGCCTGGATCTCACTGCGGAGTCTGGTGGAAGTTTGTGACAGAATGTCGAAGGCTCTGCTTTGGAAAGCTAAAGAGTCTGCACTGGAAGCCTGAAAGAACTGGAAATGAACATTCAAAGGTAAAGGGAAGAATGAGCTCTTTTGAAAAGGAAAAGGGAAGACTTCCTTTTTCTTTTCTTTTTATCTGTTCCAGGTTACCAGCCTACTGGTTGGTACCACCCCACCCGCATCTGGAGTTGGTCTTCCCTCCTCCATTTGTGACCCACACATCACTTATCCACAGACACACCCTGAGCTTTACTAGTTTATTAGATGGTTCTTAATCAAGTCAAGATGTCGTATCATAATTAACAATCACAGAGTGTTTGTGTAAATTACTCAATGATGAGTAAGCGGGAAGGTCAAGATTTGTACCAAGAACCTGAAACTTCAATCACTACTCTCTTTGCTACTTCAAAATTTATCTTTCCCCTACTATCCATACTGTGGCACAATTCTCAAAGTTGTTTTTGTTGGTTCCAATAACTACAGTCCCGTGTTTAGGTTGTTGGTGTTTTAAAAGTTTTACCCATGTGTCTTTTATAGACTGTGTAGAACTTGAGGTAAAAAGTAGCTTTCATTCAGAGTACAGATGAAGTTAGCTTCCTTTGCAAATACTATTTTTCCCCAACTTTTTCCCTTTCTAAGAACAAGCTGATGAAAATTGTGAGCAATTTCTTATTAAGTATTTCAAGCTACAAGATGCAAATTTGGAAAAATGCCTTTTGGTATGCTATCAAGTAACTCAATATTCTACTATATTCTATGCCCATGATTGAATAGGGGAAAAAAATCACCTGAATAATATATTTATCTAAAACCTAGATAGATTCAAGATATTTTAATAGAATTCCAGTAATTATAAAAATCATTGTTTACGATTCTATTACCATAGCACTAAAAACTTTGAATTCCAACTTGATGTCTCCATACTGAAAGCCACCACGCTCCTCTGCATTGCAATCACAAGCTTGATAGGCCTTTTCACCTGTTTCATTTCTCAGGGCTCTAAAACTTTTCCTGCTCATCTTTATTCAGAGGGAAACAGTAGATTGTGGTTCTAGTTTAACAGTGAGTTAAAACAAATCATACTAAATCTTTGACTTTTATTTAACATCTCTGTATCTCAGTTGTGTCTGTCTGAATCATTAGAAAAAGTTAAAAATCACACTTAGTAACTTTTCCGTGACTCTTTAATAAAAATGTGATTCTTCTTAGCAGTACACCTTTTATCCATGCTCCCTCGTTTTACAAAGTTTCCTTACTGTATTCCTCTGCCTTCCTGGAGGAGAACAAAGGTGAAAGGCTGTCTATTGGAGATGACTCTGGTATCCAAAGAGAGACATTTCAGATGAATTTCTGTGTTAGAAAACTGCAGTCATGTAGTGATTAAATATGTATTCTGATCCCCCATCCCCTCCTCATTCCTGGTCACCTAGTAACCTGGAATAAATTTCAAATCAATTATAATTGTTTTCAGACCGGCCAGGGATTTTGCCCTGTATTATAATTGTTATATTTGTCTAACTAACCAGTTTTGAAATTCTTAATACTTAGGGCTATATTCAATATTTTACCATGATGTTTGATGATGAGTACTCAATAAAATGTAATGGAAGGAATGAGTTCTGTGTTAGCCTGGAAGGCTGATCCATGTTCTGAGTGGCTCTGTGTTGCTCTTACGGGGATACTAAAATACTTCCGGGTATTACCCCTACTTCTTTTAAATGTTGTTTGTTGAACACTTGCTTTCATCTCTTTATGTTCATCATTGCAGACTGACACTAGAATCCAGAGGGCAGAGATCTTGTTCTATCAAGACTGATATTTATCTTTGTCTTTTTGCCTCTCACACAAACTTTTGCTTTTGGAATCCAAAAGCCAAAACATTAACTCTTCATTTCTTTGGTCTCATTAGTAATGGGTTCCACTTCACTAGTTTATTAGCAAGGAAGCCATCAGTGGATGCTAAGTAATAGAATGCATGGGTGGGTAAGGATCAGAATACACATTAAACTATTATATACCTAGAGAGTAAATGAATATTCTATAATTTTAAAAAACAAGAATGCATAATATGTTGCTAAAGTATTCATTTATATAAATCTTTAAAAAGTTCATTACATTTTGGCCTAATTAATGATCAAGACTCCAGAGTTTTATCTCCAAACAAGACCCACCAGATTCTTTGAAGAGTGTGATAATCCACAGAGGAGAAGATGAAAGGGCAGTGGTGAAGCACCTGTGCTGGGTGCCCTGGCCTTCTCCCCCTCACAGTGCCCTTTCCTGCATCACTCAGTATCTTCAGCTGGTTTGGCTTCGGGGCGGGAGCCCTCACATGTGGCATTTCCCCGTGGTATCAGAGCAGGACTACAGACCTCCCATAGGAGAGATCAAGCTACCTTTCACCTATGAAATGTGTTTGTTCCACTCTGAGAGGGCTGCAGTCCTTGTGATGGGGATATCATTAAAAGGCACGGGGGAGCTAGAGTCAACTTTGGAGAGACTCATAGTAAGTAAAACATATTACTCTTTCTCTTTTTTTTTTTTTTCTTTGGTTGTAAATAAAGCTCATTTCATTCTGAGGAATTCCATAGACCATGCAAATTGCATACACTTAGCAACAGTGAGGTATTGGTAACTGAAGTAGTCTACCCTACCACATTAGGGAAGGAGGAAATTTAGGCCAAGGACACAGGGGTGGTCCCTGTTCCTCTACAGTGCCATGTAGTCTTTAATGTTCACATAGAATTTGCTTTTTAAGGCATTATCTGAAAGACACACACTTTCTAAATTGTGCAACATTCAATTTATCTACCTTGGAAGGATGAATGGTAACGCGAGTCCTGCTGAGATCTGAGCCTCAGCATCCAGGGATTCTGAACGTTTGAAGCAGCTGCTGAGCCCACTAAGCCAGGGCTCCACCTCCAGCAGGACAGCCACTCTGCACAGGAGCTCACTTCACCAGCCGTTTCCCCACCACCCAGGTAATTTTCCAGAAATTAAACAGCAGTCAATAGGAAAAAAGCAAATAACTTCCCTCCTTTGAATTTTCTATAGATCAGAGTGCTATTAAAATGTGTTCTCTATTTGTGGAAACATGACAGAGACTGGAGAAAGGAGCTTAGGACTAATTTAATGTCAGTGATTCAGTTTGTATTTGAGGGGACAGAGAATCAACTTGTTCATCAATCAAAGCCAAAAGCCCCATCCTGTAGAGTCTCCCTCAAAAATGTATACAAATCTATCCACCCATCTCTAACTGCTACCAGGATAATGCAAGCCATGGGTGTAGCTCAGAGAATTCAACTTCCTAAGCAGACTGTGTTTTCCTTCTTTTTAAAATCTCATGTTGTTTTCTTCTGTTTCATTTACAATAAAACCCTCTTCCTTCACATGCCCTCAGTCCCCTTTAGGGCCTGACTTCAGCATATTTTTCTGACATCTTCTATTGTTTCTTTACTCCTTTTAATTGAGCTCCAACAGTTTCCTGTTTTCCTCTAATATACTGTGCTCATCCCCACTGCGGAACCCACAAACTAAGTGATTCCCTCCACCTGGAAAAGTTTCATCCAAATAAGTAATAACTGGCTCCTTTTCTCATCAAGGCTAAGTTCAGTTCTTACCTTCTCCAAGAACTTTTTCTAATGCTGCTTACTCTGGTATTTACTTTTATCACACAAGCTTGCTCCGTTTATTTCTACTATTTTTAATGTCTGGATTTATTTTGTTTACTTTATGGTGGTCAGTCTGACTATAATAAAATTTTCATGTAAAGCAGACCTCAACTTCTCTTATTCACCGTCTTATAGGCACTGTATAGGAATATTCTGTCACAAGGAAGGAAGGGAGGAAGGATCAAAATAAATTTTTGCACTATAGTAAATTTCCTGGGAAAAAAGTTTTATGCAGTAATCTTTCATAAGTTGTCCATTGAACCAAAAGAGTTAAAAATGTTGTGTACTAACTGTTCATTAGTTGCTTATTTCTGTGTGCAAGTCATCTATGTTTCTTTTTGGTAAAAATAAAACAGGAAACATACTCAGAAAATATGTTAGCACATTTACCTCAATTTATAGATTTATAGTATTTTATTTTCCCCTATTGTTTTATTTATTTATTTATTTTGTACCAGGGGTTGAACTCAGGATCTTGTGCTTGTGAGGCAGGCACAGTGCCACTGAGCTAAATCCCTGGCTCAATTGTCTTAATTTTTAAAAATACCCATATATTACTTCTAAATAATATATCTTTATAAATATAAATGCCTCCTCCTTTACTCAAAACTCTTGCTTTCAAGGAACAGAAGCTCATCTCCAAAAGAGTAATTCTACCAAAAGAACAGGGCCTATGACCCTTTGGAGTTTTTTATTATGTATAGCAGAGTCTCTTGCAGAGATAGAGGAAGCAACTGATGTGATGGCTACAAACCTCTAGACCCACATTTTTCTGCTTGAAATTAAAATCAAGATGCAAAGGAAATCTTCACTAGATACAACAATAATACAGATCTCCACAAGTTTGATCCCCAGTACCAAAAATAATAATAACACAGATCTTCAGTAATGGCTCTAGATAGGTAAGAGCTAAGAGTGACGGTGTATAAGGACAAATGGTATAAACTGTAGTCCTCAAATCCTTTATAGGATTCCTCTATAGCTTTCCATAACTTTTTTTGGTACTGGAAAATGAAACCAGGCCCTCTGTACTGAGTTATATCACCAACCCTTTTCATTTTTTGAGGCAGGGTTTTGTTAAATTCCCCAGGTTGAACTTGAATTTGCAATCTTCCTGCCTCAGCCTTCTAGAATACTAGGATTACAGGCATGCACCTTCATGCTTGGCTTCTCTATACCTTGTTAAAGTCATCTTTTGAAAAGCATTCCCCTGCGGCTGCTTTTATTTCAGACAGGCTCCCGTAACAGAGTCATCAGGCAATCACATGCAGAATAAGAAGGAAGCTACAGGACCCTGACATTGGAAAAGTCAGTTGTGGTTCTTGGAGTAGATATTTTTATATAATTTGGAGAGGTCCTTAAACTCCTTGTCCTCTATGGAGCCTTAAGTAGGCTTGTATTGATCTCTAAACAACACTGCTCTGTCCCCCTTTAGATCTAATTTGGAAATCAGCATACAATCTGGAGAGACGGAGATTAGTATACCAATTTATTGCTGAGAAGACTGGCAGACTAATAAGCTGGAGAATGTAGAGTTTTATGGCCTTGATAATAGTCTCCAAAATTAGCTCTACTCTCTGTCATGGGTTATATCTAAAATGGCCCCCAAAGTCTTATGTGTTTGGAAGGCAGTTGGATTATGGGTAGGAGGGAGAGTGTGGTTGGAGGAGATGGGTCATGGGGACATGGCCTGGAAGGGTGGCATCTCCATCCCTGGCTCCCCCCTCTCTCTGCTTCCTGACTGCCAAGAGGTAAGCGGCTTTCCTCCACCCACTCACCCTCACCACTGTTTCTGCCTGGAGCTGGCCAACAGTGCAAGGACTGCAACTTCTAAAACTTGAGCCAAAATAAACCTGCTTTCCTTTAAGTTGTGAGTGTTAGGTATTTTGTCTCAGAGATGAGGAAAGTGACTAAACCCTTTACTCACCCTTCACCCATTGCAGTGAAGAGTCTCAGCCTCTCCCCCACCCGTTACACCAGAACTTGTCTCGCCATGCTTCCTCATAGATGTGAGAGCAAACCAGAATGTGCGTCCTGTGCATCAGTCATATCTGAAGAGAAAACTCAGAATGGGCTGAGACTTGCCCAGCCAATTCCTACCCCCTGAGGACCAATGGGGATAATCATTTCCAACATACAGAGGGCAAAAAGGAGGCAGAAATGAAATCAGAATTTTCACTTTGGTGACAGGTTTACCCCACTAGAAGAAGGAGGGTAGACTGAAGGTATATGCCTTTTTAATGCCCTCAATTTTAATTCCCAGGCTAGATTTCCCTATTATTGCTGTATCTCAGATTTTTTCCTTTATCTTATTTTGATGTATAATTTCTATCACATACTGTGGTCCTTCAAGAGCATCTACTGAATTTTGAATCAGAAAAATTGAATCTGTTTGAAATGTTCAAAGCCATCTGCAATGGCACCCTTGTAGTTCCATATAATAAATTGAACACAGGAGCAATAGCCCTATTAAGCTGATGAAATCATTGATTTCTTCTATGTGTAATGGTCACATTAAAAGCTGAGATTTTCAGCAGATATAATACCAAGTAACTCATTGACGTATAATATTAACAAAGAGCCTTTTAACCCTATGACCCTTAGTGGAAAATGTTTATTGGAAAATGGCTGCAAATATAAATATTTTCAAAACATGATGGCAAAATGTTCTATGCTACTAATCAAAATAATATCACTTGCTTGGTCACTTTGTCTACTTTCCTTCCCTAGGAGGGGTAAGCAGCATTAATGTAAAAACAGTAACTCAACCAAATGCTTTCCTACCTGTTCTACTTACCTAACATTAAACTGGAGATACATTTAAAACATCTTGCCTTGACCAGTAGTTTCCAAATACATTTCAGCTCTTAGAAAACTGCTTAGTATTTTCAAAATAGACACTTTCATATCCAAGGTCAGATGCATAGCCCAAAAAGAAGGGCCTGTCTAATTTGAGCAAGTGCCCAACATGATTTGAATGAGGAGACACATTTAGAAGCCATCACAATAAAATTGGTCTCTATGTAAGAGATTGTTTGGAGATGCCTTTTTCCTTTTCTACATTTTTTTTTTTACAGTTGAGTATGTATTACTTCACATTGTATTATTTTATGTCCTCTTTTCCTCTCCCTTGACTCTTTCTTTGGAACTATTCTAGTGAATTCAGCATCATTAATGTATAGAAATAACAGAAAATATTACTTGATTTATGACGGTAGTGTTCTTACAGTTGAATGGGCCAAAGTAGTCCAGGTTCTTGTGTGCAACAAGGAAAGAGTTACCAAGCATACACCTCATAATATGTAGTAAACAGCTACGTTTACTGACGATCACAGGACAGTAGCAGGAACAGGCAGAAGGAAGAGGAACCCAGGAAGAGGAACTCTCAAAGAGCTTGGATGAGCCCAACACAATGCAAGCTTCTAGTGTTTAAAGGATCAAGTGCCCATAACTTCAGGTGCCTCCCACTTCATCCTTCACTGTGGTCGGAACTAATGCTCTGTCACCTCGGGCATCACAACCTCTTAAGCTCAAACATGGATAATTACCAGGGTGGTGCTGTACCCACAGCTGAATGAAGGAAAATGAATGGTTCCTTCATGTTCCATTTGGACAATGGAACCTTACAGTTCCATTTCTGACTGTATCAGTATTTGTTATTTTGGCACTGTGATATTAGCGGAAGAAATGATCATAAATTTGTGAAGTGTTAAGATCTTGAAAAAAAATATAAAGTAAAGGAAGAAAATATGTTGAGGAATAAATTCTTAGAACTCAAATTTTATGTAGTTTACAGATCAGCCATATTTTTAGGATTTTAGGACCCACCAGGTAGTGCTAGAATCTTCAGAACAATAAACTGGAATGGGAATATACCTCAGTGGTAGAGTGCTTGCCTAGCATGTGTGAGGCCCAGGATTCCATTCCTAGCAGCACAAGAAGTACACACACACACACACACACACACACACTGCCTATCCTTTCAGTTTTTGTCATGTGTAATTACTTTTATAAAAAGATTCATATTCTTTTGTCATCGTGGTTTATTGCCATGCAAGAATAAATCATAAGGATATTTTTAGTTTTCTATTACATAATTTTAGATAACTTTATAACATTCCATTCAATAAAAGTTACCAAAATACATTTATTTGATTCTCCATTATTGTACATTTGTCAATTGTTTGCAGAATAAAACAGTGTTATAGCCATTCTTCTAGCAAAACTCTTATATATCCATAAGTATTTTCTTACAATGTATTTCTGAAAATTGGAATTACCAGGGACATGTTTATCCTCTGAATATAGAT